AAAATGAAAATTTTTGGAAAAAGAAATAAAAATTGTTTCAAAATCCCGAGGTTGAAAAAAAAAAATGAAAATTTTTTCAAAATTACGAGGTTGGAAAAATAAATGAAAATTGTTTCAAAATCCCGAGGTTTGAAAACAAAAATGAAAATTTTTTCAAAATTCCGAGGTTGGAAAAAAAAATGAAAATTTTTTCAAAATTCCGAGGATGGAAAAATAAAATGAAATTTTTTTCAAAATCCCGAGGTTGGAAAAAAAATGAAAATTTTTTCAAAATTCCGAGGTTGGAAAAAAAAATAAAAATTTTTTCAAAATTCCGAGGTTGGAAAAAAAATGAAAATTTTTTCAAAATACCGGGGTTGGAAAAAAAAATGAAAATTTTTTCAAAATTCGAGGTTGGAAAAAAAAAATGAAAATTTTTTCAAAATTCCGAGGTTGGAAAAAAAAAATGAAAATTTTTTCAAAATTCCGAGGTTGGAAAAAAAAAATGAAAATTTTTTCAAAATTCCGGGGTTGGAAAAAAAAATGAAAATTTTTTCAAAATTCCGAGGATGGAAAAATAAAATGAAATTTTTTTCAAAATTCCGAGGTTGAAAAAAAAATGAAAATTTTTTCAAAATTCGAGGTTGGAAAAAAAAAATGAAAATTGTTTCAAAATTCCGAGGTTGGAAAAAAAAATGAAAATTTTTCCAAAATTCCGAGGTTGGAAAAAAAAATGAAAATTTTTCCAAAATTCCGAGGTTGGAAAAAAAAATGAAAATTTTTCCAAAATTCCGTGGTTGGAAAAAAAATGAAAATTTTTTCCAAATTCCGAGATTGGAAAAAAAAATGAAAATTTTTTCAAAATTCGAGGTTGGAAAAAAAAAATGAAAATTGTTTCAAAATTCCGAGGTTGGAAAAAAAAATGAAAATTTTTCCAAAATTCCGAGGTTGGAAAAAAAAATGAAAATTTTTTCAAAATTCCGAGGTTGGAAAAAAAAAATGAAAATATTTTCAAAATTCCGAGGTTGGAAAAAAAAATGAACATTTTTCAAAATTCCGAGGTTAGAAAAAAAAATGAAAATATTTTCAAAATTCCGGGTTGGAAAAAAAAATGAACATTTTTTCAAAATTCCGAGGTTGGAAAAAAAAAT